TCAATCGCTCTTGAAGGTCATTATTCATTCAGCAGTTTTAGGACTTCGGCCATAAAGTACTCCGCTTGTGACCTGAGCTTCAGCCCAGAAGACATAGCCTGTGATCCAACGAAAGCCTCTTGCAAATGGTTTCTTTTAAGAGCTGCCTCCCTGTACACACTTACCTAAGTATAAATCCCACTATATTTATTGCAGCGGACACACGAGTGCATGGTCGTCCTCTCATCAGAACGTCCCACTCGAGCAACGAGGCTCCCTGATGATCAAACGCATCTCCAGTAGCAATCTAGAATGTCTAGGGAGCTCCAGGCCTGGCTTGGCCCATCACTCTGGGCCTTTATGTGGCTCATGTGGTCCTGTTTAGTTTCTCCTGTGCATCAAGTCAGTTGTGGTTTGCAAACCGTGGTGTACAGCTTGGTGGAATTTGCAAGCCCAATCAATAAATCGTGGTTTATTAATAACACATTCAACAAACCAGGTTTTTAGACTGCACTCACGTCCTGCTTGGGGTTTCCTGGTTGGCTACTGTAAGAACAGAATGCTGGTCAAGGTTGGCATTTGGTCCAATTCCTCAGCATTCCTCATAGCTTTTCAGAGGTGGAAGTCCCGTCCTAAGCGGAGTTAATGTTGACTGTTGCTTTACTGAAATTGGTGGGAAACCTATTTAGGATCGTGGCAGGAGCAGCCAGTGCTATAGTTCAGGACTCTGAATTTTTTAAAGGAATATTTTGGAAAGTACTTAACTATGCTGTATCTATCCTGGCCAGTAGGACCTGTGCAGTATTTGCTAAGGGAGCGAATGAGCACTGCTGGGGCTTAATTAAACGATCGAAGTAACCCTTCAGTCGGAATTTCTCTTCCCGAGGAGTTTCGTAGGAATAAATGGAAGCTGCACACAAGCTCTAACAGCTGACAATCCTTTCAGAGTGTGTGCATTGGGGGGAGGGGGGTGAGCAGTGGTGAAGAATTGCGCCCCAAAGTTCACCCGCTTAGGATAGCTGTTCAGGGCAGCAAAAGTAATCTGGATCTTGATTTTATTCAGCTACCCAAGTAGAGTTTTAAATGAGTTGAGGTTCTACACTAAGTCTTATGAGTTGATGCACAGGCACAGACAACATCTATACACATCAAGTGAGGAACATAAGCCTCGTTGCTTAGAGCAGCCATCAAGGCAGTGAGATGTTACTGGAGTGGAACTAATAGCAAATTATAACCATTCACTTTCTGAAGCAGTGGGAGACAGTGAAATAATACTTCTCAGCCTCTCCGAATTGCAGTTCATCAAAACACCCAGGAAATCGGGGTGTGCGCGTGTTTCTGTGCTATTTTCAAGAACACTACTGAGGATGAGGAGAGAGAAAGGACAAGCTGATATCAGGCTTCTGAAGTATCAAAAGTTTGGATTGGACTTCTGATACTTTACATGAATTTGAGACCCATATTGGACATAATCCTAAAAATTAAGTTTATAATCATGTCCACGGCTATTTGGAAGTAAACCTCATTTACACAAGGTTTATTTTTGAGTAAACCAGCATAGGATCAATCCCCCCAAATGCTTTTGCTTCAGAACAGTTCTTTTGTTGCCCCCAACAGGACAATTTGGAATCAGATCTGTTAATAACTACTGCTGTGTGTATTTCAGTTCAATCCACCATGGGGCAAGATGTTCATAGAATTAATAGTAGGCTTATAGGTGTGGGAGTTTGAAAACAAATCAAAATATAGGTAATCAGTCTTCTAAAGCTACAATGTAGTAGCTAATGAATATGCGGCTAAGATATTATTGGGAAATTTCCTTGTGCAATGAAGTTAATTAGAGCTACCCCCTTACCTGGAAATAACTCTTATTGTATCCTGCTGGACTTACTTTGCTTAGACACACACACACACACACACACACACACACAAATGGTGCATCTTTGTCAATTCAAACTGTGGCTCTTCAATTCATTAGGTTTAATAAAACTAGCTTCCAAAGAATGGAGTTTTAGTTGAGGTTATCTGTTGAAATGCATCCATAAATGTATATCCAGGCTTCAAGATATCATGTAAACTCCTGAACACATACAATATGAATGTGTTTCTTACATTGTTCAATCATTAACCACCAAGCGCAGTGGGAAATCTAGTATCTAAATAAAAGTTTGGGAAGATTTTAGAAAGGAGGAGAAATTTACAAAGGCTCAATCTGTGTAATTGGGCTTTTAAAATGGTGAAAAGCTTTAACTCATTAATTAATCTATATAATAGTTTGAGAAATTCAGAGTACTTTGAAAAACAATCATTGTTGGATTCTGGTGTGTTTTCCAGATGCAGCTAATTTCCTGTGAACATTTACGATTGGCCCTTCAATTCTAATCACACTACTTGAGAGTAAGAGCATAATTTCATTGAAATTAATCTTTCGTTGATGAAAACAAAATAACTACGAGCTATGTTTCTTTTCCTTCTTCAACTTTGGTAAAGCATCTGTTATCTTTAAAGCCATTTCCCTCCCCGTACTTCCAAACGCCGTTTCAGCTACCCTTCCGGGCATTCTGAATGCTTTAGAAGGTAAAACAAAATCCTTATGCCGCTTTATCCAACATGCATACATGTTAAAAATGGTGATCACAATCTCCTGTTTGCATATTCATTTCTTTTCTGTGATGAGCTGCATGTTAAGATCCAAGAATCTGGATCTTTATATTACCCATCAAAATAATATACTAAGATGTATATTCATACAAACACACACACACACACACACACACACACACACACACCCAATTATGGGTACATTGCATGGCCCTGAGTGTTTTTAATTTTTTTTTCATAATCTAAAGTCTTTTGCTCATAGACTTCTGTTTAGTTATCACTATCATATTGGCCAGAAATGCCTCTCGTTTCTAAGATCTAAATTTGTTTTTACTTTATTTTGGTCTCAGCACTGACTTTTTATTCCAAGATAGCAAATGACCAGCCGTTCTGTTTTGTTTTTAAATCAATAATTCCAAAATGAATCATAAGTTGTTGGGGGAGGGGAGAGGGAAAAGAGAGCGTAAGCTTCAATCTCATTGTTTCCTTTATTTCAAAGAGGAGAAAAAACCTGAACGATTCTCATCCCTTTGATTGATTAAGGTCTTGAATAACTTGAAGCTTGAGAGTGACAGTTGCTGAATAGACTATTGCCAAAAAAAAGGAGCGCTGTGGAAAGCCGGGCTGGCACTTCAGAGTGTAAAGGAGGCGAGTTTGCTGGCACTTACCAAGTTATAAATAAAAGGACACGCACAATAGTACCTTCTTTAAAGACAGACAGTCTTTACAACACTCCTGGCGTCATATCCTGCTGTGGTCACTTCAGCTCCTAGTCAGTCTTTTCTTTTCTTTTCTTTCTTTCTCTTTCTTTTTTTAAAAAATCTTTTCTCTCTCTCTCTCTCTCTCTCCCAGCAGTTTAGTTTGAATGCTATAATAAATTCCCGGGAAGAAGCGCTTCTTAGCGAAGTTCAGCTTAACGAATACATATATCGTGTCTATGTGTTTGTGTATCTCCACCCCACCCCACCCCACTCAGAATCACATAACTGAATTCACAGGGATTCCTCGATCTGTTTAGTCTTGAAAGTAGGAACCTCTCTTGGGGAGAGACGGAGACGGCTGTTTTCATCATT